TGCCTGGACTGAAGGCATTAGCCTCGTCGAACAGGTGTTAAAGAGACAGGGGACAGGAGCAGAGATCAGTGTCATCATTCAGACTGATCAGAGTCCTCTTTGGAGGTCAGCTCACAGTGGAGTTTTGGAGGTCTGCTGTGAGGTTGTGTGCAGACAGGGGAGAGGGGGGGAAGATGAGCCTCCTGCCCTGTTGCTTGGAAATGGTAAAAGAAATCGATCATGTGACCAAATCTTTAGGAGATGGGCATCAATTTATGGAGTCTGTGAAGGTTAGAAGCACATGGGTGAAGAGTTTAGACATTTATTTACAAAAAAAAAAAAACATTTTTCACTGTTGAAAGTGAATTTAGTCTGTCATCAGTTTGATAACTGTGTTCAGACCAAAAAAGATCAATTTAAATTTGTTTTATACATCAATTGTGGTATCTATGAGCTACAACATGAGGTCAAAAACATAAAAGTCCACCATTTTAGTTTAGAGGACTAATTAAATCATCATGGTAGTTCTGGGGTAACAGAGAAAGTAAAGGAGTCTGATGAGAGGATCAGAGTTTCAGTTCAGACCATAGACTGTTTATACTATGGTCAACTTGGTTCTGCCTTCAGCCAGTATACGGATTTAAAGCCGAAAAGCTCTCGGTAATTCCGTGTTTTTTCTCCATTTCCTGAAACCAACATTGCGCAGTAACGTTGTACGTATTTGGCAGGAGAGTCGCCGAGATTCGCTGTGATGACGCTCAGCTCAAACAGCCTGGGTGCAATCTTTGTACACCCATAGACTGTATCAAACGTCAATCATAGAAAACATGAACCCCCTAATAACTTTTAAAAATGGAGCTGTACAGAAAAAAGAGGACTTGAGAAGAAACAAGTAGGGATACAGCTCAATTTACTTGATTTTTTTAATAGCTGCTGGTTTGCGAAATGAATAACATCCTGAAATATCTGCAGATACACGAGTTGGAGACAAAACTAGGATTGACTTGATGTAGTGATCCTAAATATGAAAAATGGATCATCTTACCCCACTCTCCCCTATATATGGGAGTGAAACTAGAGTGACACAGGAGAGCAGATGTAGCAAATACAGTATACATGTTTGTGTGTGTGTGTGTGTGTGTGTGTGTGTGTGTGTGTGTGTGTGTGTGTGTGTGTGTGTTAGAGTGGGTTACCTCCCTCAGGTGGACTAGCATGATGAGTTTGTGTGTTTTTGTCATGATATGTGTGTGTGTGTGTGTGTGTGTGTGTGTGCGTGTGTGCGGAGGCTTTGTTGATAGGGAGCAGCTGATGAAATGAGGTCAGAAAATGCAGCAGTAATTGTTCTGGATACACAAGTCATTGGTCGCTAAATTGGCTTCAAAATTAGAACCTGTGAGAACTCGGTCTGCCTGTGGAACGAGATAACCACCCGTGGGTCTTTGTGTGTGTAAGTGTGTATAAGTGTGTGTGTGTGGGCACCAGCAGGGAAAACTGGTTTAAATGACTAACAGAAGTGTACATATTACAGATTGAAGTCTATAATGCAAAGCAAAACATATATGCTGTAAGAAATGATGACATGCTGGTTTTTGTTAAATCTGTCCTATATTGAAATGCATATTTATTTATGTCTTATTATCAGTGTGTGCGACCAGAGTTCTTGTTCCTGAGATTGGGTGGGGACAGGAAGCTAATATCTTATTGTCATGCTTTAGGTCTTTTTACATGTTTTCTCTCTTTATATATAGGTGAACTGCTGCAGGCGCTCCTCCTCTCTGTGTGGATATGGGATATGAGATTGTTCAGCACGTCTTAATTCAGCGACTTCTCCTATAACCTTTGGAGCTGCGGAGCTTCGGTAATGTATAACCAACCGTATCTCCTTTCCAGCTGTATCTGAATAATTGGAAGAATCTGGTTAAAGTTTTTATTGAAAGCAGAATAATAATTACTGAAGATTTCTTTGGCATTGGTGTTTCCAAAATGTTCCACACAGCAGTAGAATTTAAATTAGAAACCTCAATCTGACTATTGCGGCTTTCCTAGTACCTGAGAAGTCACCTGAGGCAGAGGATAGGTCCTGTACATTTGTGTGACACGCCGCTGCTGTTCCAAAGAAGCACCCACAGTTCATCGAAGTTTTCAGAGCTTTAATAACAGAAAAAATGTTTCTACAGTCACCAGTGATCCACACGCGCACATCAGATAGGCCATGGTTCTCAGTCAGAAAAAGGTAGATTATCTTCTCCAGGTCAGAGGGGCGGTCCTGCCTCAAGTGGAGGAGTTCAAGTATCTCAGGATCTTGTTCACGAGTGAGGGTAGGGATGGGGCAGGAGATCAACAGGCGGATTGGAGCGGCGTCAGCAATGATGCGGACGCTTAACCGATCAGTCGTGGTGAAGAAAGAGCTGAGCCGTAAGGCGAGACTCTTGATTTACCGGTCGATCTACGTGCCGATCCTCACCTATGGCCATGAACTTTGGGTAATGACCGAAAGAACAAGATCGCGGATACAAGCGGCCGGAATGGGTTTCCTTCTCAGGGTGTCCAGGCTCAGCCGATCGGGTAAGGAGCTTGGACACTCAGGAGGTGCTCAGAGTAGAACCGCTGCTCCTCCACGTTGAGAGGAGTCAGCTGAGGTGGCTCGGGCAACCGGTTTGGACGCCTTCTGGACGCCTCCCATTAGAGGTGTTCCAGACATGTCCCACCGGGAGGAGACCTGGACCCTGATGAAGCGGAAGATAACGACAACGACATCAGATAGAATATGTTTACACTTTATATAACTTACCGGCTTTCAAACACGGTGCCCACATGACCCAAGCCCAGCAAAACCAATGGCAACAAGACAAAAGTAATTGAACACAGGATAACCGATCAGTAAAGCTGCATTATGGCGCCTACACTGACTATATGATAAAACTGGAGTTAAACCCCTGATGGTAACACAAAGAAGTCAGATTTTATGACTTACTGACACAGTAGAAATGATACCATGTGAATGAAAGTTGAAACCTGCACTCTCACTGCTCCACGTTCACTCTTATCTGACCTTTTCTATCACCCTTTTGACCTCCATCCACGGTCATTTCCACCAAAGAAATAAAACCTTCCTGCAAAGTGAACATGTGGCCTCTTATTGAAGTATTAAAGTGAAACTATTCCCTTTTTATTTCAGATACAGGGTAACTGGATCACTTTTAAATGTCACCATCTCTATCAATAAAACTGTGTATGAACATTGGTGTCCCTTGAGGACAAAGCGATCCCTCTCTAGTCATGTCAAGTCATGTCCTCTAACAAAATAACTCCTCTTGCTTTCTTTGAGTCAAAGGAATCAATTACTGGGAATGTTAGCTGTGGGGAAATTAAAGAAAACCTGCTTTCTCAGTGAGCTGTCAATCATCCGCTGGGATTGCCCCGCCCCCTCACCCCGTAGATTACAGTCTGGATACAGATGTCCTTGCATGGTTCCTTTTGTAGCTCCGGACTCTAAATTTCAGTCATTTTCACAAACAGCTTGAAACTCCTCCAGCAGTTATCTGCACATCTTGTAACTTTATAAAGCTTTGGGCAGAATGTTCCTGAATTTTCAATCCTCACTGGTCAGTCATGTCTCATGAATAACTCAGCCGTTCATTCCAGTCATTACTTTTACAGGGTTATCAAATAAAACCCAGCCTGACACACCAGATGGTAAAATATAGACAAGCTATCATGTTGAACATTTCTTTTATGAATTTAAAAGCTCCTTTCAATTAATGATTCGGGTCAGTTCTACAGAATCACTTCCCCTGCAGCTAAATGTGTTAAAATGCTGCTTACATCCATTCACAAAAATGTTACTTCAATATCCAGGACCCACCTCCACGGTACCGGGACAAAAATCAGACAGGAGGAAAACAGAGTGTGGGCTCATTAGGAATAATTTAAAGGTGGGGGAGGCAGAAATCCGTTAAAAAAGCATCTTTTTTGTGGTGTATATACAAAAATCTTTAAATATCAGTCAATAGTTATTAGTTATTGATGACATTTGATAATATAATGATATCTCTGTGTTCTCTTATGTCTGTGTAGTCAACATTTTAAATTTTTTGAGTGGTCCGCTCTTTCTGACTGTAAACAAACCCATTCTCCGCCTCCCCAACCTGATTGGTTGTGAGGCAGACGCTGCTCCCCCGTATTCAGAGGCACGCTCCACGTCTTCGAATAATGTGTATGACCCCAACAAAGTAAGCGTGCTACAATATCGGACACTAGAAACCAACCAGAAAGTACGGAAAATTGTCTGAATCCTCCTTTGGCCCGACCGCCGACATAAGCAAGAAAACAAAGTAAATACCGGAGACTCTGGAGGAATAACGGGCGCTTAAAACGGAGGTAGACCGGACAAGAGCTAAAAAGCCGGGTCAACATAAACGATGGGGGACGCTTGGGGATCTTGGTGACCCTGTAACCTTTCTGCTGGACAGGTAAACCGCTTTAACAAAGTAAGACAAGTGTCTGTAACAGAAGTGTTTCTTGTCAAACGGACCTGCTGTAGCGTGTTGTAGCGCCATCGCTAAACTGTCCTCCCTCGGGTCCTGGACTATGTCACTTTATCCTAGTTGTAGAAGTCCTGCAAACATTGTGTTTGCTGGTAGTCTGTTGGCATCTACAGTAGCACCAATGCTTTTGACTTTCACCTTGACTGGGCCCCATTTGTAATGATCTTAAGTATTTATCTGCATTATATCTGAATTTAATTGGAACGATATGAGCGAGCAGGAGCGTCTGTTTGTGGGCGGGGCTTGCTGGAGCAGCGAGGGAGGGGAGAGGAGGAGCTAAGGGGAAAACTGGTTGGGAGGGGTAGAGTTTACATTCAAGATTTCTCCTAAAAACTGGCACCTCCTTAGATCCTGACTACCCCACCTTTAAGGGATCTGGAAATACAGTCAGAACCAGTTTGAAGTACATTTAAAACAGAGAGCATCGTTGTATTTAGAGCATGGTAATAAAATCAGTTTCAAAAACAGCTTAACCTCAAGGACAGCATTGAAAGTAGAGCAGAGGGCAGTTTAAGAGTAAAAGAAACCATGTAGAGGGAGTCAGAAAACACAGTTGTATCCGAGTAGGACTGAAGATGGTAAAATCTTGATGGTATCATAGCAACTGGCTGACACCCAAAGTTGAGGAGCAGGCTGTCTCTGTGTCAAAAATCACATCGCTGCTTTCCCGGTGAGGAGAGAGGCGGAGGTGGGCGACTAAGGGAGAGAGAAAAAGAGGTCAATATCCAGAGGTGAAAAGAGCAGCGGGCAGGTAGTTTGTTAGAACAGGTCAGCCAGGTGTGCAGCTGCTCAAGTTTTAGCACCTAATAGGTGAGAAAAAGAAACCCAGAGGGGTTTTGTGTTGTGCAGTCAAGCAAAAAAGAGAGTGCACCTCAAAGCTGACATACACAAGGCTATAAAAAAAAGTTTGTGACATTTGTGACAGAAATACGGTCGACTTCAAGTAAAGGTGCCCGGTCACCTGAGGCAGGGGTGTCTGAAAACTTTCTGGATTTTTTTCTGAGGGTGTCGACATCATTCTGACAAAAGTTATCCATGTACTGAAACAGAGAGGAAGTAACTCCAACATCCCTGTCAGCCTGGTTAAATTGGTACGGTAGAGAAATGCTGGAGAACCGAGCTTTGATGGACAGTAAAAGGTTTCTTGCTGGGTGTTAATTATATGAAACATTTATTAATAGACTAGAAAAGACTCTAAGAGCAGTTTTCCACATTTACATTTCAGTACCAAGGTTTCACTGTGCCGTAAATCTTATTCTCTAGTTTAAGTCAGGGACCATTTTCTACATAATAAACTGCATATTTTCTCAATTCTTCAAACGCTTTTTTATTCCTCCAGTTTGATCCAAATATTTTCATTTGCTTTTGAAATTCAGTGGTATGTAAATAAATGTTTCTCCCCTAATTTTCATGAAACTAAGATACATCTAAGACAACCCCCTACAACGGTACGCCTTCTTATTTACCCTAACCTCAGTGGATGAGATGTTCAGGGTTTAAAGAGCGTCTTCAAACTGCTTAATTGAAATACAATTCTTGGTAAATGAATTTATTATAAGAAACAGGAAGAATCTTGGATTATTTAGTTACTAAAAATTATGAAAATGAGGATTGTGTTTTTTTTAATCTTGCCAAAATTTAACCGAATGTAGTTATAAAGACTTTGTGTGAATACATATAACACATGATTGGCTCCAGAGTCATCACATTCCTCAAGTTTATTTACTTCTTTTTTTTGATGGGGATTTTCCTGCAGACGCCTCTCTTTGGATATTATAATCTAGTTGGGATTGCAGTTTGTTGAATCAGAAAGTAGGGAGTTTGGTGAGTTAATGTGGATTCCAGAGTGGTTTGGTTTGGCATGGCACACTGAGCAGCAGGACACTTTCATGGAAACTCCGAGCAGCATTAGCTGCTACTCTGGAAACAAAGTTAGAAACTGAATAAGCCTTGATGGAAAGACAAATGGATGATCTAAGGTAAAGGTGCTTATGAAGAATGGGCTGCAGACAGTTAGACGGCAGAGAGTGACTATTTGGCTACTTGGGATGGAAAGTTTGCCTCAGAGGATTTATTGAGGCAATAAAAGATAAGGTCACTGTGATGTAGGCTTTAATATTAATGCGCCATTTAATGACCATCACCATGAAAGAAACTAGGTTATCACTTGTAGTGACAGAGGAAGCTCCGGGGAGTTATTTTGCAATAAAACATGTGGCTGTGTGTGTATCTGGATCAGCAGAGGTACTTAAGAGTTCCTCTTCACTTTATTAAGACACAGTCAACCGTCTTTTGAAGTATGCAAGGTGAAAAATCCCCAGGCTATGTCTTTTTTCAGTTTAGTCCAGCTTTCCCATCATTTTACACAGAGGATTTCTTCAAAGTGAAGTTTATTGGCCAAACTAATAACATAAAGCCCCTCAACAATTAAAACGGACAATCCATCCTCTGTTCATGGAGGAAAAAAGTAAACTAATTCCCTATATTTTGTGGGGGTTTGGGGGCGCCGTCCACCACACTCTGAATGCTTGAGGTAGGTCCCGCCCCCTGTTGTGTATGGTCCAATAGCAACAGCGATGGTACTGAGTTCGACCAATCAGCGACTACGGATGATAGTGAATAGAAGTTTGGTTTTTGAGTTTGGGATAGATCGAGGGACAGATTGAACGGAGAAAGTGAGCCAAAAACACGAACGTTAGCGGGGAAGGCGATTAATTCTCATGAATACAGAATTCCCGCTGGACCGAAAACTTGTTGAGTTATTGAGCAAAAGCTGGACAATGGCCCTCTCTTTCCCCAAAGTCTGTGTCGAAGAGTGGCAGGTGTTCAGTTAAGGGAGACGCATCGCTTGGTTCAGCTTCCCAGAAGCCTCAACGGGGGCGCCGAGACCGGGGAAATCGGCTAAAAAACGACGCCTGCAGCTGGCACAGAGCCCCGTGAGTGTGAACCGATACGGAAAAGAGGGTGAAGTAACTGTTTATTTTCCTCCACGGACTTTTGGAGGAGTGGAAAAAAGCAGGAAAGGAGAAAAAGCTTCCTCCCTGTCGCATTAGCGGCGATGAGACCAACGGCTGGCTCGTGCTCACTATGTGGCTCGTGCTCACTTTCTTCTGGCTCGCGCTAACTACTCTTTCCCGCCGTATGAACTAATTTAAGGAAACACGAAGTCCTGAGATATTCTTGATAAAACTTCTCATCCTTCCTGTTTTGTTTTCTCTAACCTGTTGTTAACCTGAGACGCGAAGCACCACGGGGAGTGAGCCTCTCCGGTACCCGAGGATAGTCCCCTTTTTGTGGGGGCTGTGGATAATTTGGACCCGGGGGTTAACCGACCGCAGTCCCCGTTCCTCCATCAGCACTCCTGGGAAAGAGCCGGGGGTTGCCTGTCCAGTTTGTTTCAGTCCAAATCCGGGGGTATTTTAAGTTTCAATCACTGGAGTGTTTTTTTTTCCACAGATGGATAATTGACGTGCACTATTGCTTTTCCGTTAAACAGCGAAATGGTCCGCGGGACAAATCCCCGGTGAAGACATCAAAACAAGCGCGGATTTGAGGTCGATAGCAGGAATAAGCCGATAAGTCTGAAACACACTCAAATGTATTAATTCTTTGCTCTGATCAATCCAGATGGAAATGAGGAATTACAGGAACACACGGACTCCACCACCACAGCAGAGGAGAGATCAGTGCTCCGTGAGGAAGGACTGGTAAAGACGAGGAGGAGGAGGAGAAAGTCTCTTTTTGGAGGAGCAGCCGTCTCCCTTCTCCTCCTTTTCTTCTCTCCAGCTGCCTGCTGAGACGGGGGAGTCACAGTCACGGCCGTGGACCCCCGGAGCTCTATCTCCACACAGTTAAGGCGGAGGTGCAGCGGTGATTTCTCCACCACTTGCACTTCTTTTCCATTCCTGCGCAGGGCAGTGAGAGAGTTGCAGCAAAGCAAAGCAAAGCGCAGGCGGACCCGGGCACTGTTGGATCACCACCTCCTGCATGAAGACACAGGGAATTTGCTGCTCCGAGGACTCCCAGGAGACTACAGAGGGACCCACTGTGGGCAAGAAGATGAGGACAGGGGCGATCCGGAGTGGGAGTGGGAGCCGGTGTTCACCTTTTTTCCTCCTGCTTCTCGTCAGCAGCAGCTGCCACATGTTGCATGGTCAAGGTAAGATATTTACTCTCAGGGGAGTCCAGTTATATATGTCAGGTGATCCATCAAAGAATAAACTGTACATAGATCCCTTCATGCTGTAGGTGTTTTTAAGGGTAAACTGGACATGGGTAAATGCACAGCCTGAAAACACCAAATGGCAGACTCATTTGTCACTGAGAGCATAGTGGGTACAGGGTTAGGGAAAGTGGGATGAAGAGCCCTCAGTTGGAAAAAAAGGGGTGTGATTTATGAGCATGAGCAGCACTTAACTCATGACTTTTGATGTGAGTGTGTCCCTGCTGGAGGGGAATACTAAAATCCAGAGTGTCAGATTAGTCAGGTGGTGTTTACGACCATAGAACTGAGATGTTGCTGTTATTGTGATTATGCAAAGATTCAATGAGGATGATTGTAGGATTAAGGTATTGAGGATGGTTATGGGGAGGGGTTGTTACAGTTTCTAGATAATCCCCCCCTCTCTTGGTCAATGACCTGCTTAACTACATTTCCTGATTTGGCACAAATGCACTCACACACAGACACATGCATGCAGCTGTATGAGGTATTTTAATGTGTGTTAGCTTCTGTCAGTCCAGTGTTGTCAGCCTTGTTGAAGTGGCAGATAAGAGTGTGTGACTTGTTGCAGAGTATCCAGTGTGTCAGGTAAGTGTTGAATACAGAGAAAGCAGACAACTGAGATGAGATATCGATTCTGGACTATAGATGTTTGTGCGGTGTAACATGCATTGAGAGCCTTTTTTTATCGAGCGAATCTTTGTGTGTGTGTGTGTGTGCACTCCCGTCTTTGTATGTGTGCACGCACCTCATGGGAGTGTGTCAGAGAGGCAAAACAAAAGCTCCGAAAAGGTCAGGCTGCTGTCGGCTCTCGGTTTTCTCTGGGTCACAGATGGCGTGGTGGTGGGCAGAATGTGCGGCTGAGACTCGGGGTCATGTGGGAGGAGGGGGTCTCAGGAATGTCTGCGCCTATGTGTGTGTGTGTATGTGTGTGTCAGAGGTGGGGGGCAAGCTATTTGCAAGTGCATGGAGAATGTCTGTGTGCCCTTTAAGTGAAAGGAAAGTGTGAAAAGAGGGAGCACAGGTAGGTGAAGACGAGGAGAAGGTGACAGAGAGAGAGAAAGAGGGCTCCATGCGTGACTCTCACAAACCTGTGCCTGCAGTTCAATCGATGATGAGGGAATGACAGCACCTCTGTGTGTGTCTAAAGTTCCTCTCCACCCCTTACTCCTCCCAGTCATCACACTCTGCCGTCTTTCTTCCTCCCTTCACACAGGTGAGGAGGAGGAGGTGGGAAACCGAGGGATGGTGTGGCTGCAGAGTCAGCTTCTTTTGTCCTCCCTCTAATGTCAAGGTCTCAGTACCGGCACCCAAGCTACCAACCACACCGCCCCTCGTTCCCCACGCTCTCACGCAGCGACCTTCCAGCTGTCTTGACTGGAAGGGGGGCGGGCGGGCGGGGGGTACCCTGCTGCAAATATCCTTCAGGATAACTGACAGGACTTATGTTTGTATTAGTGTGTGTGCAGGGTGGAGGAGGTGAATTGGAAATTAGCGAAACAGATCTGGGATACGGGCCGGTGGTGGAGGTGATGAAGGGGAGGGCTGAAGGTATTGATTTGATAATCTGTGCCAAGCGGCTAATCAATGGTTGTAGATTCTCCATGCTCTGACCGACCCCACCATCACAGGCATTTATTAGGATGTTTTATTTTAGGAGGAAAAGGATGAAATTCATGAAGGAAAGTTGATCTCTGTGGTACCTCCCCCTTCCTCACCCCTCCTGCCCCCTTTCTCTCTCTTCCCTCCTCCTCCTCCTCCTCTCAGTCAATCGATGCCCCCACCAGTCCTCATAAATGCAAGGCTTTATATGAGCCAAGTCTGGTCTCTGGGAGCAAATTTAAATAAGCTCATCGATCTTTCATTTTAGAGTTTAAGTGACGGCAGCATTTTACTGTCTCTCTCCTCTCCTCCTCTCCCTCCTCCCCCTCCTCTTCTCATCCACTCACCTCTCCACCCCCCCTTCTGTATTCATAACTTATCTCTCAGCCCTCTCTGTGTCTCCCTGTCACTGAGTGGGTTTAGCTCCACAGCTGTTGGACTGATTCACAGTTTCACTCATTCTGTACTTGTTCATATTCACGGTCTTAATCATATTCAGTCTCACCAACAGAGAGTCCAGAAAGCTTTTCTATCCTTAATGTCATTGATGGAAAATCAAAATCTGACAACTGCATAGAGTTTTCTGAACATAGCAGCACATTTCTGGTTTACATAATGAGCTTCATCAAAAACCATCAGAGTGTGCTAGTCAAGCTTAGCTGGCAGAGCAGGCTCCCCGTATGCAGACGCTCCATTGGTTGCAGGTTCAATTCCTTGCAGGTGCCACTCTCTGAATATCCCGAGGTGTGAGGTAGGTTATGGAGGATTTTCTTCCCGCCCTTCGAAATCATAAATATCCATCCATCTATTCTCTACCGCTTATCCCGTTGGGGGGCTGGAGCCTATCTCAGCATCTTGGGGTGAAGGCAGGGGACACCCTGGACGTTCCTTGCAGGGCTGTTGTAAATATTAATCATGTTCAATATTTATGAAATCCTTATGTAGGGGGGAAAGTTGGGGGGTGGAGGGGTACGACGCATGACACTCACTCAACTCAGCCACATCCTGATGGAGATGGAGGCTACTGCTCTTCATGCCGACAGGAAGGCCGACTGATCAAACTCGGACCAGAAAAGCGCTTTCAACTAGTTTTGGCCGATTACCGATTATTCTCAATCGGGCTAAAATGGGCTGTTTTAATCGGCTTGCCGATAAATTGTACACATGAGGTCTTTTTGTCTCATCAGAGCTTCGTCTTTTGGATTATAAGACCGCTCTCCCTGTTTATTAACCATCTGCAGTAACATCTGTACACACACCGCTGCTTATCGATATAAAAGTAAAAGTGCATTTAAACTGCTTATGCACATGCAACTTTGAGATTTGAATGTCATTTAACTAATCTTTTAATAATTCACATCTTCTTTGCTTACTAACACAAATTTAACCCACTTTCAAGTCCTTTAAATTTGAGTCCTTTGGAGATTCTTGGCTGTATCTTGTGTTTGTGTGTGTGCATATTTATAAGAAGAGCGGATGACCTGGCAAAGAGACAGTGGAAAATGTGTGTGTGTGTGTGTGTGTGTGTGTGTGTGTGTGTGTTCAATGCACGGCAGGTTAGGCAGATCCAAGAGGAGGGAGGTCCCTGGATGGCTCCCTTATTTCCTGTCTGTCAGGAAAATCAAATCACCACACTTCCACAGCCGGTGGACACTTTGAGCGTGTGTGCAAACACTCTGTGTTTGAGAAGGACAGAATGTGTGTGTGTGTGTGTGCCTGTCTCCATGTGCAGACCAGGTACAAGCTATGAGTCTGACGGGACTGCAGACCACATACCGAATATGTGTGTGTGTGTGTGTGTGTGTGTGTCAGACTGATGCTAACCCTGTCTCAGCTCTAAGTGTGTTCTTCGTCACACAGCAGTAGAAGTGTCAGCTGTACGAAGGCGGCCTGAGTCATTAGATGTAAAATAACGGTGCTGCAGGTGCATCTGTGCTACGCTGATCAGTTTTTACATGCACACACACACACCCTCAGAGGAGATGTATATGGTGTTATGTTGGGCCTGTAAGTTTTGTCAGGGAGGTCATGAAGAGGTCACCTCCTTCTCTGGCAGTGTGTGTCAGATTGCGGTCAGGCTGATATTAAATATTGATATAAAGCTTAAACTTTGTCTGTGTGTGGGAACGGTAAAAAAATCTGTTTCTGCCCTCTCAAAACAGTGTTCGAGAAGAAAAAAAGAGGAAAAGTAGTTTAAGGAGTGGGCTGTTTCTTTATCAGGACCTTCATTTAGGGCCCTTTACCCAGTGTTTACTGTTGCTAGGTTACATTGTACTGTAAAAGTAGAGGATAGAAAGCATCAAAAAGAGCATTAAGACTTTCTCCTCAGTCTGGACCGCCGTCATTTCTGTTGACAAACTTTATAACAGAGGGTACACCCCTTCTTCATTCTTATTGGTCAGTGATCAATAAGTGACATTGATAAGCGCGGCACTGTTTCTAAAGTTGAACTGTTTTCAGGTCACCAAACACTGAAATAGTCGTCTTTCTTTGTCTGACCTTAAGAATTTCATGGCTTCAGGCCACAGAAGGAGAACAGCGGCTGTTTGGACTTCCAGCATAGGCTTCGGTGTTTATTAGTAAAGATCACGGGGAGGAGGTTGGTATTGATCTGTTTGCAGGTGTGTAAGAGATGAAGAGGAGGAGGGGTAGGGAGGGGGGCATGAACGCTAATCTTGTACTTTTAAGGATCATAGTTCTGAAACAAGACGTCCAAGTGAAGCTGAACACTCGCA